TAAATAAATAATCCCATTTCGAATATTGTCACTTAAATTGGAAAAACTCCCTCGCGTATCTAAACCCTTCGGGGCGGGGCGCGCAAAAGAAGGTGTGACAAGACAGATTCGAAAGAAAAGGAGTGAGGATTCAGAACGGGGAGGTGAAGGGGAATCTGGGGTGTTGATTTGGTGTTGATTGAGACCGGCGCCGCCACCGAAGATGGCAAGGTTTTGAGGGCGGCGCTCTAGGGTTCGTGGTAACGATCTCTGAAGAGAGGAGTTGAGAGAGATGAGACGAGGGGGGGTACGGGCGTTTGGACATATATATATTAAGCGGTCCCCCATTTTGGAGCCGTTGGATTAAAGAACCTCGACGGCTCAGATCTACTGGTCACCTAAACGACGTCGTTTGATGAGAGGGGGGGCTGGACCGAGTGAGACGGGTTTTGGGCTTGGGTAAACGGGTTTCAGGGGTTGAATTAATTGGGCTTTGAGGAATTTTATGGATTTGGCCCAAATATCTGATTCTTTTCACTTCTTTTCCTTTTCCCATTTTCCTTTTATATAAAAACATCTTTTCTTTTCAAAAAAATTAGAAATAAAACCTAAATTAATCCCTAAACCAAATTATCCTACCAAATTAAATTAATTAACTCTAAATAATAATTACCACAACTAATTAAATACCAAATTAATAGAAACTACTAAAATTCGAGGCTAAAAATTAAAAATGCGAAAACGAGATATTTTTGTGATTTTTCCATTTTTGTAAAACAAACTAATTTACTAATTAATCTAAAATGTAAAATTAAATCCTAAATGCAACGCGTGATATTTTTTGCTATTTTTCATGATTTAAATAAAATTAAATATGCGCACAAAATGTAAATAAACACGAAAATTGGGCAATTAATTCCTAAAAACCAAATAAATAAAAAGAAAAATCCTAATTTTGAGGATTCTGTAGGAGTAATTCATGCGAGGCAAAAATTACGTGCTCATAACCTTATTCAACAATGAGATTCTACTCTAATGACATCACTCAATATATGCTACATTTATTAATAACTTATTGTTTCTAATATTAGGTGGTGTAGTTTCAAAACTACTACAATAGCACAATTATGCTAAATGAAGAAAATAAAGAAAATAAAAAATATGAGCAACTATATGAAATCACAAAAATAAAGGTTGAAAAGTGAGAATATTATTTAAATATAAAAAGTAATCTATTATTTTAACATAGTTAAGCTTGCATATAATCATATCCAATAACAAAGTGCAACTTTAATGACATCACTAATTATATGTCAAGTTTGTGGATAACTTATTCTTTCTGAGATTACAAGATATATTATTTTTTAGAAAAACTAGAATAATAACATTCTAAGTGTAATAATAATAATAAAATAATTACAAAAAAATATGAAAAATTATGTAGAAACACGTGAAGTAAATGTTGGGAAGAAATAAGGAATTAAAAGATAAACAGTGTAAAAAGAATACAAATTTTTGAAAAAAGAAGAATTTAAAAAGTTAAAATAAAAAATAAATTAAAAAGAATAAGAATAAAAAAAATTAAAAAGAAAAGAAAGAGATTCAGAAAATAATCTTGTCAACCCCTTGTGAATTGTAGACTGTAATTGCACCCCTCAATTACACCCAATTACATATTGACCAAATAATTTTACTTGGTGAGACAAACGTATCAAAACTTACACCCAAATTCAATTATAGAGTGACTTTCCAAACAAGCCCTTAATGGACAGAAGAATATAATTTAGATAAAATTTTCTATAATTAAGGTTATTAAATAGTATATTCTAAGAAACATATAAGAAACTTTAGCTAAAGGAATATTAATAGCATGTTTGGCTAAATTTATTTTTGGCCAAAAGTACTTTTGGCAAAAAATTAAGGTGTTTGACCAAGCTTTTGGAAGTAAAAAAAGTATTTTTGAGGAGAAATAGAAGCAGTTTTGGAAAAACAAAAAAAGTAGCTTCTCTCCAAAAATACTTTTCAGAAAAATATATTTAGAAGCAATTTTTTAAACCTTGACCAAACACTAATTATTGCTCAAAAGTGCTTTTCAAACTAATTAGTCAAACACAAACTGCTTCTAGCAAAATATTTTTGAGAAAAGCAAACGGCTATAAGTACAAGACTCACAGATCGCGTGACTCAAAACTTTGTCGTATGCCTGTTTAGAATAGATTGGACTGTGTGACTCTGTATGGGAAGTGGAGCTTCAAATGGATAAGAATGGCGACACGTGTGAAGCCACCAAGAAGTGAAGAGACCACTTGTCTGATCCGAGCTCTATCCTCTTTTATTTTTACTTTTTCCAAAAATACATGCTCCTTAGTAAGCTGACAAAATACTATCTTAGATTGTAGCTATGGCGACAGAATAAATTTATAGCGGTGATCGGCGACGGCTTCTGCTACCGGAGAATCAGACGACTGATTAATCTGTTTGTGGGTCTTGCTATTACTTTGCTGATGAGGTCATCGATGGTGTTCCCCACTAGCTAGAGTCCTTAAAGGGTACGCAACTCCAATTGTTTGGGTAATTTTTTAATATTCTGATATATTGGGATTAGTCTTCACAGAGTGTTTTTTAGTATCTGAACCATGGTGTTTTATATGTGATGTCCGTTTGTTTGATTGCTTTCACGTGTGCATATTATGTATTTATGTGTTTAGATAGATTTTTGGAATTTGTGCCATTTGGTGTTATATAATGGTTGAATTAAAGGTTTATGGATTGATTTTAGATTGATAGGAGTAAGTCAAAAAGATTGAAAAATACAATCATTTGATTAATATACTCTCAATAGTCCTTAGATGATTGTTTTAGGATGATCCTTTTGTTAACGGATCCGCTAATTACACTCATAATCTCAAAAGATTGATTTGGATGCAAAATAAGAAAACTAGGAAAGTTTGATGTAGGAACTGTGATCGCAGTGACGGAGGCAGGATTTCCGTGAAGGGATTTCAAAAAAGAAAAAAATTAAAAAAGATTGTAGCTTGCGGGAATAGAACCAACAAATCTTATATAGGTTTTGAACTCCCTGACCACTAAGCTATGCTTTTGATCTATGCCAAGGGATTCAAAACATAATATATAGAGGTGAAAAATAGATTTTGCCTTATATATACAATGTAATTTTTTTGCAAAAGGGATTCGGGTGAACCCCTTTGCTCCTCTAAATCCGCCCCTGCGTGGTCGTGGTAGTAGTGGTCAAAGCACAAGCTTACGATTAAAAGAGTAAAGGAAGGAAATTAGCGACTGAACTAAAACCATGGTCATAGGACCAATGGACCGACCGCAGCTGCTATTGTCAGTTTTAAGGGAAAATAACAATCACAACACTCCATACTACAATAGCTACAAGTAGGGCTCTGGGCACCGGTCATGATTGCCACCCACTGACTAAATTTTTAGGAATTTATCCCCTAATTGTTCTAAAATTTTTCATACTCGTTCCAAACTCTTAGAAATCAAAAAGAAGTCAGGTTCCCAAGTCGGAGAGAATTTTAGATTACCCATTTTTAGGGGGAAGTACGAGAGTTAGACATTGTATTTCCTTTAAGAATAATTACTCTTTCACGGATCATGATGGCAGCTGCACTATCCCATCGGTGGGCGAACCATCCCCAAAATTATTTATCTTTTGAAAGAAAATTAGCGGAAATGAACAACAACAACAACATACCCAATATTATCCCACACCGTGGGGTTAGGGGAGTGTAGTGTGTACGCAGACCATATCCCTACCTTGTGAAGATAGAGAGGTTTCCGATAGACTCTCGGCTCAGGAAAGCATAAGCACCACATTAATGAAAATATAGACGAGAAGGGACAGTACCAAAAAAAACCATATAAAAGCAGAATAAAAACAACAAGACAGTAAGGTGATCAACAATGAAAGAAAACAACGATTAGTCATAAAAATCTACTATCAACAGAAAGCGAGACTACATGCCAATACCACTGTTATGAACACTCTAGTACCTACTCTACTACCCTAATCCTCGACCTCCATACCTTCCTATCAAGGATCATGTCCTCGGTCAGCTGAAGCTGCGCCATGTGTTGCCTAATCACCTCGCCCCACCTCTTATTTGGCCTACCTCTACCTCTGCGTATGCCGTCTAATGTCAACCTCTCACACCTCCTTACCGGGGCGTCTGTGCTCCTCCTCCTCACATGACTGAACCACCTAAGCCGCAACTCTCGCATCTTGTCCTCAATAGGGGCCAGACCCATCTTTTCGTGAATAACTTCATTTCTGATCCTATCTAACTTGGTGTGCCCGCACATCCATCTCAACATCCTCGTCTCTGCTACCTTCATCTTCTGGACATGAGCAATCTTGACTGGCCAACATTCAGCCCCATATAACATCGTTGGTTTGACAACCACTCTGTAGAACTTACCTTTAAGTTTCCGTGGCACCTTCTTGTCACACAAAACACCGGAAGCGAGTCTTCATTTTATCAATCCCGCCCAATACGATGGGTGACATCTTCATCAATCTCCCCATCCCCCTGAATAATAGACCCAAGGTACTTAAAACTCCCTCTCCTAGGGATGACCTGCGAGTCCAATCTTACCTCCCCTTCCCCTCCTTGAGTCTCGCCATTGAACTTGCACTCCAAGTATTCTGTCTTGGTCCTACTCAACTTGAACCCTTTAGATTCCAAGGTCCGCCTCCATACCTCTAATTGCGCGTTCATACCGTCTCGCATCTCGTCAATCAATACAATATCATTTGCAAATAGCATATACCATGGCACCTCCCCTTAGATGTGGCGCGTCAGTACGTCCATCACAGCAAATAAAAAAGGGCCGAGTGTTGTCCCCTGATGCAACTCCATCATAATCGGAAAATGGTCCGAGTCCCTACCCACCGTCCTCACTCGGGTCTTTACTAGATCATACATTTCCTTAATCAACCTAATGTAGGAACGATACATCTTTAGCCTTCAAGCTTCTCCACAAACCCTCCTTCGGAACTTTATCGTACGCCTTTTCTAAGTCGATGAAGACCATATGCAAGTCCTTCTTTCTCTCCCTATACTGCTCCATCAATCTCCTAACAAAGTGGATGACTTCTGTAGTCGAACGCGCCAGCATAAACCCAAACTGGTTCTCGGAAATAGACACACTCCTCCTCACCCTTAGCTCTATCACTCTCTCCCAGACTTTCATAGTATGTCTAAGCAGCTTGATACCCCGATAGTTATTACAATTTTAGATATCACTCTTGTTCTTGTATACAGGAACCATCGTGCTCCACCTCCACTCTTCGGACATCTTCTTCGTTCTAAAAATGACATTAAATAACCTAGTGAGCCACTCCAAGCCTGCCTTGCCCGCACTCTTCCGAAACTCCACCCGGATATCATCCGGCCAGGTCACTTTGCCCTCCTGCTCATCTTATGCATAGCCCCCTCAACTTCATCAACTCTAATCCACGGAAATGAAAAGAAATAAATATTACTAAAATTGTTTTGCCATGAATATATATAATAAAGATGCGAAAACAAACTTGCTAAATGCATTTCCCAAAACCTGGTCTGACTTGTACAAGAGCATCTAATAATTACTACAATGTCTGAAATAGTGAAATACAAGTCTCAAAAATACTAAATTAAGTATTGTCCAAGGGTGGGGAAAGATAGACAGAAACATAAGGAAGAGATTCTAGGGTTGTAGGTCCAACTAGTAGCTCACCCTATCGTCTTTGATGAATCGCCTCAAGATCAAACACGAGGTCTTGAACAGGAAGCTGGATCAAACTCAACGCTCAACAAAAGTGCAACGTAATTCCGTAGATATAATAGGCCGACAACGATTAGATAAACACATGGAAGTTACAGAAATTAACAAGTAGAGCAGATAAGACAATCAAGTACAGTGCGACGAGTAGAACCGTCAAGTCAATGACAATTCCGAATTCAAGTTCAAGTAGAAGTTCATAGTAATAATAATCACGATAGATCTCCATAAACTCAGGTTAGAAGCCTAGCTGAAAGTTTCTAATCCGCAAGTCCGTCGAATCTCCAAATACGCACTAGACAAAACAGGCAACAACTCAAGTAAATCAACAACCAAGAGTTCCATGAATATGCAATGCAGTGATATGAAATTCCATGCAGATGGAATGCATTGCACTGGCCAACTGTCCATATCTGTGCACACATGTTGAGGGCAATGCCTCGAAGTCATGACCCATGGGGGACCCGTGAAGTCCATGAACTTGTTGCAGCGTGCAACTCGATCCCATATATATGTTTATGTTGCGGCGTGCAACCCGATCCATAACGTACATACCCATTGCAGCGTGCAACTCAATCCATAACGTACATACCCGTTGCGGCCTGCAACCCGATTCCTAATGTAGGTACCCGTTGTAGTGTGCAACCCGATCCATAAGTCATTACAACATGTACCATCATCTTAATTTCCTTCGACATCTTATTCAACAAATGTATGATATGAATACATACATATCAAATATCAAGTCACAATGTAATATGGGATGTATATCATGCATGGAGTCGATCTCAACAATAGCACGATGTCTCAGAATCAGAATCCACATGCCATGGTTACAATCACAACTCAAATAATCAATGTTTATCCTTTCTTTTTTTCATGAAGTAAGGGAGAATCTAGTGTGACAGAATAGTTTCAACCAAAATATTCATAAGTAGAGCAAACGTGGCGAAAAGCCCACATAAACAACAATCATACCAACCTAAGTGGAATTTATCACAACAGTATGCTCGAAGGCCAAATATGCTTACCCATCAACATGTACAACTACATTAACTAACCGAAGTCTAATAAAGATAAGCCGTAACCTACCTCGAAGCCGACCAGGAGCCACGAACCCCAAGCCAACGCCTTTCCTTTCCAGAGTGCTTTTGAATGATCAACGTCTATCAAATATGAACTCTACGTCGAAATACGAATCCATGGATACTCATGTGGCCATAGTTTTACCCGGAACCCAAAAATGGGCCCAAAATAGCCAACCCGAGCCCCAAGGGCGAAATTGGAATTTTATTTAAAAATTGAATTACCTATAACTTATATAGTCTAGATCCAAAAAAACCTATTCAAAACACCTTCATCTTGATTCTCAAATCAACGGTTTACCATTTTTCAACTTTTAGGTTCAAAACTCCAATTTTCTCTGATCAAACGTGGATAAAATTGATAACCAACAGAAATAAACTTGAGGAAACATCAAAATAAAGGTATGATTCTTACCCCTTTGTTGAGACGAGAACAATGCCGTGAAAATCATCTCTAACGAGCTCTAGAACTCAAGATATGCTCAAAATACTAAATGAACGCAGTCTTATTTTTTAATACACAGCGATTTCTGCTTCCGCACCCAATAACTCGCACCTGAGGCCTGCCATGTGTCATTTCCGCACCCGCGGACCTTTTCTCGCATATGTGGGGCCGCAAGTGCAAAGTGGCTGCAGGTGCAGACTCCACTTCGCATTTACGACGCACCAACACCAGATATCCTCTCCGACCCT